TATATATAGTGTGTGTGTGTGTGTGTGCGTGCGTTTCGGATTATATAGTTGAACAATAGGCAAACAAATGAAATAACAAGTTGACGTAACGAAACGTACTTTTATTTGTCACGGATATTAATTTAAAGTAAAAAAAAAATATGAAAAATGTGGTATGGCCAAAGCCGGTGCGGTTCTGACAGGTCTGCTTTTGGTACCTAGGGATCATGAAAATACCGATTATGTTTGATTTAATCCGTAGCTCGGATCCGTAGGTCCCAATACAACACAAAACAAGCGAAAATGGCGGGGTTAAAAAATCATCCCAAAAAATCGTGAGCCAATTTTTCACCTAGTTTCTTTCCAGTTGATTCTTACCTTATGGTACCTAGGGATCATGAAAATACCGATTATGTTTGATTTAACCGGTTTAACATCCTTTTCTCACCGTTTAAAATGTTTAATTTTCCCAGATTCGAACTCATGGGTCGAATTGAGTATCATATGATTTAAAATTATTTAACCTTATAACTTGGATTTAACTGGTATTTTTAAGTATTTTTGTGATCCGTAGGTCCCAATAGAACACAAAACTAGCGAAAATGGCGGCGTCAAAAAATCGTCCCAAAAATTTGAAAAGATATGAGCTAGGCCTAACTATTCTTTAAATGGTATATTCATATTGGGCTATTTAATTTATATGTCTTCGGCAAATTTGGGCTATTTTTCGGTTAGTCGATATTTATTACGTTAACCAAGAACATGATCATACTTATCATGTTTGAAACAACTTTAACACAATGTTTACAGTAGGCCTATTTAAATGTTGTCGATTATTCTACAATTACGCTATTGTAATGTATGAATAGTTCTTAATTGTAATTTAAATTTTTCAATAATTTTGTATTTGTAAGGCACTGCGTTTCAAAGCTACCGGTATGCTTCCAATGGTGGCCTTTTTCCAAATTATAAATTATTTCATTGTATTGCTTTTATAGGTCTACAAAATTTATGAAACTGAATTAAAAATAGAATAGGCCTAATGATAAAAAAAAAAAAGAATTCCAAATTTGAGTACCCCTAAAAGTAAATCTCATACCAGACTCATATTATACTGTTCCATTTTCCAAGATAGTTGTATACAGCTTAAACAGCAGGGGAAATAAAACAAAATACTGTGCATAAATATAACAAACGAACGAACAAAAACAAATGAATAATGAGCAAATGAATAAATGTTGTCAGCTTTTGCTAATGTATGATCTATGAAGTTGTAAAATGCACCAATGGGGTGGGGATGTGCGCTCGATGGTTAAGTGTGGGCCTTAATAAGGTTAAATGATTGCTAACTAGTAATGGCTCCAGACACTCGAGATTTTTTTGTGAAGAGCATACGCCTCTTAAGTCCCTAGATATACCAATGGAAATCCTTTCATGGCAGGCGGAGTTAGATCTTTATCTGGTCTGACGTTTGGCAAGGAGTACGAATTGAGGCGGCAATGCAAGATACCCCCGCCCACCCCACCACCTTTTTCCTAGGAGTGGCGCCAGGATATGCCAGACA